ACTTCCAATAATTCCTTAGATACATATCAACATAAATTATATAAAAAACGGAGCTTAATTGCGATAAACAGATCGAATCGGGTGATAAATCAGTGAAAAAAAGCTTACCGGGTTCGAATTTGGCAAAATGGACTTCAGATTTGGATTCAGGACATTGAAAGCATAAAATATGACTTTTCGAAAAATTTGGAATTTTCGGTCAAAATTAAAGTCAACGGGTTTGAATGGTAATTTCGAGGCTTTCGGGTCTGAATTTCGAAAAAACGGACTGCGGAATCGGATTTGGAACGTCGAAAAATGTCAGGATATGTATACTCGGTCAAAGTCAAAGGTCGTTTAATGCCCGGTCAAAGCCCGTCTAAGTTTTGGTCAACACCGGTCAACGGTCAACGGGTCGGGTCGGGTTGAAACCGGTCAAACCGGTCAAAATAGCTCCAAAATCGGTCAAACCGGTCATTTTTTCTTTCCCAAGCGTAGTGGGGGCGCGTGAACAGTGCTATGGTGTCGGAAAATTCCCGAAAAATTCCTAAAAATTATTTTGAGCGATTTCGAGATACTTACAAAGCTCGATTCACAATTTTGAACGGCGGAGAGCTCGATTTCAACAAATCGGAAACTTTGACCGCTTCACCTCCTCACGCGCTGCCGTCGACGGAGACCAAGCATGACACCGGCGGACTCGGAACGATGCAAGGAACACGATGGTGCGGGAGGTGTCGTAAACGGATCATCGGATCGTCGTGAATCGATGAAAAACCAATTGAAATTGAGTTATTACTGACGATACTTACGATTGAAATTAACGACGAACGACGACGATTCAAGACGAAAGGTTTGAGGGGTTTTGTTCCTTGGTTGACAACGAACACGATGGTGGTATCGGTTTGTCGATCGGAGGTCGGACGACGAGTAGATCGGAGTTGAAAGGAGGGTTGTTAGAGAGGAAAAACTGGAAAATTCTGCTGAACCTGCTATAAAAAAATGGTTAAATGATGGGTTTAACCATTGAATTTCATGTACTTCTTAAAACAGTCTACTAACTTTGAAATTTTATAATTTAATCCCCAATTTCTTCCAAAAATATCAATTAAATTCACCACTTTATAATTTCTTAAATTTAACCCTTAAATTAGGGTGTTACAGTTTGGAAGCATGCCAATTGACAACTGTGACAAATATTCACTTTGTGGTCCAAATGGCTACTGTGATAGCAATACGCTTCCGTCTTGTCACTGCTTGACAGGGTTCAGGCCGAAATGGCCCGAAAGATGGAATTCGACGGATTATTCCGGTGGGTGTATACACAGTAAGCCATTGAGATGCCAGAGTGGGGATGACGAGTTTATCAGGACAAGAAGAGTGAAAACCCCGGAGGCCATACATTCTTGGGTTAACAAAACTATGAATCTCAAGGAGTGTAGGACAACGTGCTTGAGGAACCGTTCGTTCATGGAGTACTCTAATTTAGATGTTACAAGAGGAGGTAGTGGCTGCGTCATTTGGCTCGGTGATCTAATTGATGTCAGACAATTCGAATCAGATGATGGTCAGGACCTTTACATCAGAGTATCTGCTTCAGGTAATTGTTTATAAAACCGGAACTCATCCTTATTACTTCTTGCGTAATGTTTTTGTGTACTAAGTTGTTTATAATTTTTGCTTCTTATTCAAAATTGAAAATGGCAGAACTGAAGAAAAAGGCTAAGGTGAAGCTTGGCATCATACTTGCAACAGTAATTCCTGCGCTTTCGGGGTTTGCTTTAGTCCTTTGTTATGTTAGTAGAAGCAGAAGAAAGTTAAAAGGTAACACATTAACACCAACAGTAATTGATAATGAATAGTTTTGAACTTTTACTATGAACTGAGAAACAGAGTCTAATTGTCTACAAATCATGGGCTTGGGGTATTTTAGTTTAAGTGTTGTTTCACAAACATGTATAAAAATCAATGAATATAGAAAAGAGGCAATCGGAATTCCGATTCTATGTTTTATACTCTTTTCAGTTGAAGTTGAAGACAAGAATGTGAACTATAAAGAAAATAGAGACGAGAATGAAGATATGGAGCTTGCTGTTTTCAAGTTCGGTACAATAGCTCAAGCCACTGATACTTTTGCATTTCATAACAAGATAGGTGAAGGGGGTTTTGGACCTGTTTATAAGGTAAAAATTTGATGTATTTTAGTATAGTGATCTCTAAGTATACAATTTTGTTCAAAGCTCATTAAAATATTGTAAAATTTTCCAGGGGACACTTGAAAATGGACAGGAAATTGCAGTGAAGAGACTTTCAAAGAGTTCTGGACAAGGAGTGAACGAGTTTAAGAATGAGGTAAAGTTGATTGTGAAACTTCAGCATCGGAATCTTGTAAGGCTTCTTGGATGCTGCATTCATGGAGATGACAGAATGATGGTTTACGAATACATGCCTAATAGAAGCCTTGACTCTTTCATTTTTGGTCTGAAAATCATTTGAAAAACCTCTCAATGTCATCATTTGTGCTTCTTCAATGATCAAATAAGATGTCGGACTAACATGAATCCACACTTTGCAGATGAAACGAAAAACAAAGTATTAACATGGTCCAAGCGTTTCCAAATTATATGCGGGATTGCTCGGGGGCTACTCTACCTTCATCAAGACTCAAGGTTGAGGATTGTTCAGAGAGATTTGAAAGCTAGTAATGTTCTACTTGATAGTGAGATGAACCCAAAAATTTCCGATTTTGGCATGGCAAGAACTTTCGGAGGAGACCAAACAGAAGCCAATACAGAGTAGTTGGAACTTAGTAAGTGTACTAATTTTATGCCACTGCCATACCATTTGATCGATTAATATCAATAAGAAAATTCATTTTCTGTATCTGACAATGTTCTGCAGTGGTTATATGGCACCAGAATATGCTTCCGACGGGTTGTTTTCGGTAAAATCAGATGTTTTTAGCTTTGGGATACTATTGTTGGAGGTTATAAGTGGAATGAAAAATAGAGGATTTTACCACGCAAATGAAAGCGGCAACCTCGTTGAACATGTACATGTCAACAGTTACTAATGTCGCTTTGTTTTCTCACTTAAAATTACAAATGCTTAAAAGGTTCGAATTTTGGTGCAGGCATGGAGATTATGGAAGGAAGGTAAGCCTTTGGATATCGTTGACAGTTTCTTTGTAGAGACCGGTTATCTATCTGAGCTGTTACAATGCATACACATTAGCCTTTTATGTGTACAACAACATCCTGAAGAGAGACCCAGCATGTCATCCGTGGTTGTGATGTTGATAAGTCATAATGAACTGCCTTCGCCTAAACAAAAAGCAAGAAACCCTTTGAAGCAGATTGTTCATCAGGCGACTACGGATCATCTTCGAGAAACGAAATAAGTTTATCATTAGAGGCTCGATAAAAGAAGATTGTATGGTTCATTCAATCTGTTCTCCAAACTTGAGTAACAATATCTGTCCCACTTGAAGCTCAAACATTTATAAGTTGTTGAATATGTACTTGTTTTCTTCTGCAATTGTGCAATATCACGAGAGCTATCTGGTTTTACCCTCGATATCCACTTTTATAAAACCATAAGGTGGTCGCTGCCAGCTTTGCTTAGCATGGACAATTGGGGAGTTCTGGGCTGCGCATTAGCATTTGACAAGCTACAACCTGCCCCGAGTGATCGTGTGCCACAACACCGAAGACCGCTTGACTTGTAGTTGCTTCATAGGCACCCTCGACATTCACTTTTATAAAACCACAAGGCAGTCGCTGTCAGCTTTGCTTAGCACGGACAATTGAGGTTCTGGCCTGCGCATTAGCACTGGAGAAATCACGTTGCAGTAAGCGAGCGTTCCCAGCAATCATAAACACCGACGGAAGCTTGTTTTCCTGCACTAAGGTGCTGCACCCACGAACGTAACTGCTCGAACTTAGAAAGAATAATATTCTATTATACCACTATTCAATGGATTTTTCAAGAGCAAATTAGTACATGTAATTGGAACCTCTAAAATTCATTAAAGCTAGAAGTCTAAGTTGGCTGGCTGATTAATCTTGGAACTCAAAGAATTGGTTGGTTTTTCAACACTGAATCATGAATTTATATTTAGTGTATTAAATTATATTTATTATTAGTAAATTGTTCGATAACATATATTTATAAAATTTTAAAATTAAAATTAATTTTTTATATTTTTATGATATATAACTTTATTTATTGACAATATATAAAATATAAAACTGAATGTATCAAATACCAACTTAAATTTTAGAACTTCAAAAAGAATAAATTTTAAAGCTTAAATTTTACAAAATAATAAATAAAGTCATGGTTGATTGATTGAATAATTATATAATGTAATTTACAAAGTGTCCACACATTCGCTTTTTTTTATTTTATATTTATTCCATTTCGTCTCCACCATTCCTTAATTAAACAAGGTAGGAGACACTACTTTCTCATCTTGTTCTATTGTCTTTGACTTGCTCTCTACCATCGACGGTTCTTCAAGAATCAAGATTCATTGTCTTTTGATCATAGAGGATTTAGCAAAGGAAAAGATCTTATTTTTGTTGTTTTCTTGACCGAATTTGCTGGGATTGGGATCTTAATTTCCTTATTTTCACAAATTTAAGCTATAGCCACCGAGGAACAGAGAAGTACCAACTTAATAGTTTCCTCATCACTTAGTCACACCAGGTAATTACTGATTTAATTGTCTAGTTTATTGTTTCATCCCATTAGATTTTTAACCTTTATAACACTTTAGATTTTCCCTGTTTCGTGTCAGCTATTTTCCCCAAAAAAATCGTACTTCACAAGGAGCCAAGGGTATTGTTTTCAGTTCCTCTTTCTGAATAATTTGAAGAAGAAACCAGGTACTTTTAAAGTCAACTTATATTCTTGTAATCAGTTGTTATTGTTGAGGACCTTTTGGTTTATGGAAATTTTGGAGAAAAGGGGGTATTCAATCAAGGAAAATATAAAGAAATAACACTGAACACTTTGAAGTTGCAAACCAAGTGTTTGCTTTTTTGTCCGTATCAGTCGATAATTATGTTGGTTTTTTAGTCTGATCATTTGGGTGTGATTGATCTGACTAGGATATGAATGTTTCATGAGTTTCACTTTAATTGTAAGATTCTCTTTCAATAGAATTTAAGTATTTGGGTAGTGACTTTTTCCTTCATATTCTAGGATTTATGATGTTTCTCTCTTGAAGTTGGAAAAATCATTTAATTAATCTACATATAAACAACAAAGAGAGTTGATTTATGTGTTACTGGAAGTAGCTTATTGGAGATGCAATTGATATATCTGTGTTTGTTTTGTGAATAACAGGGAGTGGCCTTAACGAATATGGAGTTTTTAGCGCCCCTTCTTGAAGTGATAAAGTGCTTCGGGAGACCAACTAGTCAATATGTAAATTACCACCGAAAACTAGAAGAAAATATTAATGACCTTAAAAGAAAAGTGAATGATTTAAATATCCGAAAGCAAGACCTCGAATTAAAAAAGGACAAGGAAATTCGTTGCAGAAAAGTGGTGAAGAATGAAGTGGAGAACTGGTTTGAAAATGTCCGAAGCATAAATGTTGAAATGGAAAAGATAGAAATGAAGTTTTGTGTTGTTTCATACTTCTCTCGTGCCAGCCTAGGGAAACTTATTCGCCGAAAGATTGCAGAAGTTGAGAGGATCTATCAACAAGGCAGTTTTCCAGAAGGTGTGGCAGTTGATGGTCCTCCGGCCAGTGGGGTGACATTTCCAACGACAGATTTAGAAGGTCAAATAGGTGTAAAAGGACGAATTTGGGAGTATCTGATGGACAATGAGGTTGGAATGATTGGAATATGTGGAATGGGTGGTATAGGGAAAACCACCATCATGAAGAATATCAACAATCAACTGTTGAAGGAAAATCAGTTTGATGCGGTGATTTGGATGACAGTGTCCAGAGAATTCAATATTGTTAGATTACAAGAAGATCTTGCGCATGCTTTGGACTACTCTCTTCCTAAAAATAAATTGGAATGGCCAACTGTACTAATGGAAATCTTGGAAAGAAAGAGATATGTGCTAATCTTAGATGATGTTTGGGAACCATTTGCTCTCCTAGATGTGGGAATCCCTGAACCATCGTCGCATAATGGGAGCAAATTGGTAATCACTAGTAGATCAGTTGAGGTGTGCAATACCATGGGTTGTAAGGTGTTTAAAGTACAACCTCTTTCACCAGAGGCATCCTTGAACTTATTTTCGTGTCAGGTGGGGGATAATGTTCTACAAGATCCAACTTTAAAAGAACTCGTGGACCTTATCGTTGTCCAATGTGGTGGTTTACCGCTTGCTATCATGACTATAGCCAGTAGCATGAAAGGGGTGGAAGATGCTTTTGAGTGGAGGAATGCACTTTGTGAACTACGTGAAAGGGTTACAAGTGTGAAGGGATCAGATACCATAATATTTGAGCAACTGAAGTTTAGCTATGATCGTTTGAAAGATTCAAAAATCCAAAATTGCTTCCTCTATTGCTCCTTATATCCTGAGGATCATCACTTTGAAAAGGAGGAGTTGATTGAAAATTGGATAGATGAGGAACTCATTGATGAATTAGAGAATAGACGTGCAATGCACGACAGAGGTCATACTATTCTAAACAAGCTTGTAAATAATTGCTTGTTAGAGAAGGTAATGATTGACGATGTTGAAAGAGGAGTGAAGATGCATGATGTTGTGAGAGACATGGCATTGTCTATCAAAAGATGTGATAACATTATGGTAAAAGCTGGTATGCAATTGGAGGAAATACCAAGTGAGCATAAATGGAAAGAATCTCTTGAGAAGGTTTCCTTGATGAATAATTCAATACCCGGAGCTATTTTAATATCGCCAAAATGTCATAATTTGTCAACCTTGTTATTGCAGAGAAATCTTAACCTTGGAAAGATTTTAGGATCTTTCTTTGAGAACATGCATGGTCTAAAGGTTCTAAATCTCTCTCATACTGGAATTTCTGATCTGCCCAATTCCATTTCGAACTTGAAAAATCTTACTGCACTTGTCCTTAGATGGTGCCACCAGTTAAGATACATGCCTTCACTTACAAAGCTCACAGCATTGAAAAAGTTAGATCTTTTTCACACAAAAATCAAGGAAGTTCCTCATGGTATGGAAATGTTAGAAAACCTCACATATCTTAATTTATATTCACGTGATCTAAAGGATCTACCAATGGGAATGCTAGCGAGGTTTTCTAATCTCCAAGTCATGAAAGCTTGGTTGAATATAAAAGGAGAGGAAGTGGCCAAACTGAGGAAGCTGGAGATTCTTTTAGGAGCTTTTTGTGATATGCAAGACTTTGAAGGATATGCAAAGTCTTTATTGGGTAAAGGGCCAACCAATTACTGGCTTGGAGTTGGATCACCTACGTCAAGCTACTTTGAGAATCATCCTTGGTTTGCTAATCTTGAGAATGTTGAAGTTAATAAGGAGGTATGTTTTATCCATTGCAAGATGGGCAATGAAGCTTTTGTGTTTCTCCCAAAAGACATTAGGACTCTGACTGTTGAGAGCTGTCGAAATATCAGAAGTTTGAGCAATTTTTCTTTGTTCTGCGAAGCAAATGAGGTGAAGATATGTACTATTAGGTGGTGTGAAGACGTTGAGTGTGTGGTTGATTTGTCATTATCATCTTGCAACTCATTGCAGAATGTTGAGGTTCTACATCTTAGAAGTTTGAGGAACTTGTGTGAACTTTTAAGAGGGGTAACAGCTGTTGCATCTACATCTCACACTCCAGCACCTCCTGCCATCTTCTCTTCTCTTAAAAAATTCTATTTGGTTGGTTGTCCAAGCATAAAGAAGTTGTTTGCAGTTCATCAATTGCAGGGATTTCAGAACTTGGAGCATGTTGAAGTTAAGTATTGTAAAAGGCTGGAGAAAATAATAGCAGAAGAAGAGGGAGAAAACCAGACAGTAGTAAAATGGGATTCTGAAACAACATTTGCTTTTCCCAAATTAAATACATTGCACTTGATCAAATTACCAGAATTGAAGAGCATTTGCGATAGTGGACTTAGAATCCCTGCTGAGTCTCTCCGCTATCTTTCGATAATAAATTGTTCAAAGCTAAAGAAGATCCCTTTTTCCATACCCCTGCTTGAAACTGGGCAACCATCTCCTCTTTCTCTCGAGTATGGCTATGTTCATCCAAGAATATGGTGGAAACTAGTGGAATTCGATGATCTCAATGCTAAGGATGTCCTTTCACCTCTTGTTTTAGATTATTCTTCCGAGGAGGATGAAGAGTGAGCCTGGTAAAATGATAGCAATCACTGATAAGTACTGTTCCTTTTTCTTTTTCTTTTTCTAGATAAGTTGTGTTTTTGTATTATCCAAGAAAGCAGTGTTCTGCTACATATAAGCTACCTGTACAAAATTATGAGATTTTGTAGTGATGTCTGTATCTATATGTACAATATAAAAGACTATGAATTATTCATCATTAAACTGTCAATGTTCCATCATGTTTGACTTTGTTTCAACTCTGTTGAATTTGCCTAGTTATTTACTGGTTTGTTTCAACCTGTACAATTATGAAATTTTGCTATGTTCATCCAGAGAACGGTGGAGACTAGTGGAATTTGATGATCCTAATGCTAGATATTTCCTTTCACCTCTTGTTGTTTTCGATTCTTCTTCAATCTTCAGGAGAGGATGAAGGGTAAGAGCCTGATTCAATGTAAACTTCCTGTTCAATTAAGAGATTTTGAGGTGACATATGTATCTAATCTATAAAATATGAAAGGCCAGTTATTCAAACAATAAACTGTCAATGTTCCAGAAGCTAAATTTCAATCAGTTTTAACACTGATAATTCTCCAGGAGAAGTAATTCCATTCATAGACTTTAGTAACAAATCAAGAACTTTATGTTTCCAACAGTTTAATCATGGAAAAATGACATGTTTAATATGAAATAACATATCCATTAAAAGGAAACTTGAGGGCAATTTCTTGCCCTGGAAGAAAGGCCCTTTTTATCACTTTCCAAAATGACAGAACATCACCCTGGAAGAAAGGATAAGGATAAACCCTTTTTTTCAAGAAATTACTAGTCAATGTGGTTGCAAAAGCGGTAACTAGCTATAGTTGTTGACATGCTGATCGTTTTCCCGGCTCAACATTCATCTTTTCCCCAGAAAGGGTAAGCATCAGCTTTCATCAAATCTCATATGTAATCCAATTCCAGGATTTGTTGAAGCCTCCCCATTCTGTAGATCATATCATTCAATTCTGGGGAAAAGAACATGAAAGATGGTCCAAGAAAGAGGCTTAAGTTAAGTGTAAAGTGGTGGTCGGCTGTTTAACTTCCTTAAGGCTCCAGGATACGTAACTTTATGCTAATCCAGCCAGGAGCACTTGTAAAATCATCAGATTATATGTAAGCAAAGGGAGAAATCTGGTCAATTCTATATCTTTATAAACAAGCAAAAAAAATTGAATCATTAAGGAAGGGGTGATGACAGCATAAGGGATCCTCTTCTCGATTATTCATCTTCAATCATCTTCTTTAGTTGAATACCTACCTTAACGTGTTCTATCCTATTTATATTTTTTTAGGTGTTTAAAATTATCATTAATCATTATAAGTGGGACATACAATTTAATTGGATCACGTAGCGATGGAGACGTCACCCCCTTATTTGTCATGCAGACATTAGTCCGATTTTAGCAACATAAAATGCAATTCCATTGTCACTAATTTAAATATCTTTTCGATTACATCCTTTATTTTTATTGGACCCAAAATTCCATTAATCCTCCCAAACAATTATAAAAAATAATTCATAATCCAAATCCAACGGTCCTGATTTTACCTACCAACTTTTGCCGTTTACTATTTTTCACCATATGCAATTAGAGCACTTATCCTTTTGTCCCCCAATATACTTAACACAAATATCTTGTTTTGTTTCTAATCATTTCTACCAAAATCTTTTGAATCTTTTCCTATTAAGTAAAACTTGACTAATTTGTGATGGATGATTAACATTGTCAATGAGAATTTAGTTTAATGATAAAAACAAAACTTTTGAATGGGTGTTTCAATAGTAAGGAAATGTTATTTATTCTAGATGATTCGAGAATTATCAGTTTTTATTTATAAGTAAATATAAGTTTGGTCAAATTTAACATTTAACGTTACTTTATAATTATATTTATTAAAAAAAATGTCCTAACCGAATCTATGTTTATTGTTTTTTTAGTAGGTGCTTATTGTAAGTCTATTATGATAATTAGTTAAACTATATTCTAGTTTATCAAATAAATTAAGCCTTATTTAAAATTTATATTATATAAATAAAAAGTCTTGTAAAAGAATGAAATTAAGGTTCGCCCAACAATTTTAATTTTAATAAAAAGAAATTTAAATAAATGTTTCGAGATTATTTTTATTTTTTAATAATTTAGGGTGATTACAATATTGTATCTGTTTAAAACTTTTTTTAATTATTGACAACGCTCATACAGTCTGTAGACGCAGGCAGCTATTCGAAACCAAGACCTCTAAAGAGAATAACGTTCTCTCTTTTTTATCACTAAAACCACTTAATTGGTTTAATAAATATTTCTAGATAAGTTGTAAAGTATGTGGCACTATTAATTTTAGGGTAAAGTATATAAATGATCTCTTAATTATAAGATATTTCTTTGTTGAGTCACTCAATTATTAAAAGTTATAAAATGGTCCTCTAATTATAGGGTATTATTTTGTTAAATCCTTTGACTATTAAAAGTTCCAAAATGATTCTTCTACTATTTATATGCTCCAAACTCGTCATTTTTTGTTAAAAATGACGAAGTCTAAGTTGGACATTAACTTGTTGATTGAGATATGATATTTGTTTGAGATTTCAGGATTATATTTTATCATATTACAGTCAGCAGGTTAACATCCGACTCAGACTATCGTCAAGTTTTTAATAGAAGATGACGAGTTTTGAACATATGAATAGTCAAAGATCATTTTGTAACTTTTAATAGTCAAGGGACTCAACAAAACAATGCATTATAATCGAGAAATCATTTTGTAACTTTTAATAATTAAAAGACACAACAAAACATCACCCTATAATTAACTACTATTTGTGTACTTTACCATGATGATGAGCGTGACAACAACATCTCATCATTAATTTCATATTGTTTTTTAAATTAAATCACCAACCCCATTTTTTAAAACCCTATTGCGTACGGCGGCGTTTTGCCAATCACAAAATTAGCAGCTAATTAAACAAAACTCATCGGGCAACTATAAATAGAGTTCTCGCTCTTCCCCAGTTTCCCGCATTCGCAACAAATTGTTTCCAGATAATTAAAAAAAAAGAGCGAAAATAAAAATTTTAAAAACAAAAGAGCATATTTTGATCGTGATTTTCTGCGGAGTTCATCGATGGCAACCAAAGTGTATATTGTGTATGTTTTATAATTCTATTTTCCCTCTTTAATTTCTTTTTGGTGTGAAATGCTGTTGATTGTGATGCATGACTGAATGTTTACTGAGTTTGAGATTCATTTTTAGCTTTAATTTGATGTAATTTTTGAAATTAGTTCATCTGCTTTGATTTGACTCTGCTGAACTCGGTTTTTCTTTTCTGTATAATTTAGCAGAAAGTTTGGAATTTCATTTAATCTTCCAATAGTTAGAGTAAAAACTTAGTTTCCTGTCGTATAATTGGAATTTGTGGATCTGAAAAAAATGCGAATTTTAACTTTTTGAGTTAGAAATTAGTTTCGATCGGATACCAGAGAAATGTAGTATAAATTTGCTTTTTTTTTCTTGGCCGTTGATTTTAGTAGTCAGTCGGTTTAAAAATAACCTTAGAAGTCACGGTCGCCAGTAGTTTCAGATTCTCTTTCATCTAATTTTTGTTGGTAATGCAATTGAGCTACTTTATGAGGCATGATCAAAAAAGGTTAATTCGTAGATTAAAGTTTAGTTTTCAATTTGATTATGCCTGTTTGGAATGGCACGTTAGTAAAATGGAGAAAACTGATTAGAGAGTAGAAAAGGAAACGAGCCTAGTGTCAGAAAACCATGAAATCTTAACTGGATCTGTTTTTTTTTATATTTTATTAAACCATGATTAAAGGGATTGTTATTTATTGGAAATTTTACATGTTGCATTATAGATTTGGGTTGAGAAAGGCAATGTTCTTTTTTTTCTTCCTTGACTTTAGCAATTATTATGCTATCTGAGTAATCAAGGGATTTGTGTACTAATCTCTGAGATTACTTGATAAATAAGACATATGACCCATGTAAGGAACTTGAATTTGTTGAACAATAATATTGAGGCCGGTTGTCGGTTTTAGGGGTAGGGATCTGTTTCTTTTATTTGCTGACAAGATTTTGAGTTTTACATGAATCAAGCATGTACTCACAACTAGTCCCTATATTTGTACTTGAGTCACTATCCCACGCTGCAGTTGCTGCTATCGTCTTCTGTACTTGTATGTTGCAACTTAATTGCTCCCAAATGTGCAGTCTTTCCAATAACAAGGTTAAACAGGGATCAAGTGGAGCCAGTAATTTATTCCTTTGGGTCCAGAGAAAGTTCTTAAGAAATTAAACCTATCTGAATGGTGGGACTAAGGACATTAAATTCCTCATCATTGTTTTTAACTAAAAAAATTTATACTATTTGTCATGTTTTAGCAAGCACCTTATGTTAGACTTACATTTGGCATGTTATAGAATTATTATGTTACTGTAGATTGTTTACACCCTGTCTACTTCTGGATGCTTTCGCTGTAGTTGTACACTTACAATGTGCTCATCTGTTTTTTTTTCTTTTTTTTTTCCTGAAATTTATAAAGCAATGGCATCTGTAGGTATTGACATAAGATAATTCTTTTCATTGAAATGACTAAAACAATTCTCCTTGATAACAAGGTATCATGTAAGGTGTAGCATGTTCTTTTTAGGAGTGATTAGTTCTATACTATGCAATTAGTGTTATGCACTAAATCTGCTAGTTTAATATTGGTTGGTTCAATATTTTTGGTTTTATTCTCATATCCTAGTTTATGAAAGCATTAACCTTTTAGCCCTATGCCATGTGTTATTGTAGATGAATAATGATGTAAGGTAATCGATTCATAGTTCTGCTGTTTATTTGGCCCCCTATATAGGTCCCTTTTCCATATTTTTCCTCTGCCACAAATTTATGCAGGCAGGAATTGATCTTCAAGCTCCCCCACTCTTTGAGTCATATATATTTTCCTGTGATTGATGGTCCGTGTTCCATTTGTACTGAAAATAGTTCTCGAAGTGTTGGTTTATGGGCTGACACCCTAAGTTTAGAACTATGATAGATTTCTTGTTTTATTGTTTTGTTGGCATTTCTATGGTTTCAACTCAGACTTCAACACTTGCTTATTGTTGGTCGATTGTTACTTGTTCATCATAATTTCACAATCTGTAACATGTGCAGTTTTCATGCGTTGAACCAAGTGGTCTGGTGGTGCCTTAAGTTCAGTTTAAACTTTTTGACCATACTGTTTCATGATGATACCCAATTGACTTTGTTACCCGCCAAAATATTAAAACCATAACGTGGAATATAATTCATGAAAACTGATACCTTCCTTTTTATTACCTAGAAACTTACATTTGATTTAGTTATTTCACTTCTCGGTTCGATCAAGTTCTTTTTTTGTTATTTTCTTTAGGATCCTTTTGTTTTCTGTTAGCCTCAGTTATGCTTAGTTCTTTTGCTAATATAGTGAACCCTTTTCTTATCTCATCTTCCCTTTTTGGGCTAATTTTTTATCAAATCTTCTCACTTATGTTATAGATACTATTCCATGTATGGACATGTGGAAAAACTTGCAGAGGAAATAAAGAAAGGTGCTGCATCTGTTGAAGGTGTTGAAGCCACACTATGGCAGGTAATAATGTGCACCATGCTGCTGTGGTTGAAAAATCTGCTTTTTTCTTTATAGTAGTCTAGACTAATTTTATTTACGGATACGGAAAGGTTGAGGAGATTTTAAAATGCAATTGAATGGTCCTATTCTCCTGTAAATTTCAAGGCTGGTAAATTGATTAGATGTCTTGTCACAAGTCATTAACTATACACTTGGTCTCAACTGTTTCATACTCGATTGCAGTGTATATATGTTTCCCAGCATCCTTTTCCAATGCTCATATTTTTCTCCATCGAACTATTTTTTATCTATGAAATCATTATAAAAGTGCTTTGTTTTTGCATTGAATCGCTTTGATTTGATTCATGGCCTTTAATTTGTTGAACCAAGTTTTGTAAAGTTCTGCTGTTTCAAATTCATATAGATAAGGTTCCCAGGACTTATTTGTTTAACAACATTTATAGAATTGTACCTAAAAGTGATGTACCAATTATTTCACCACACGATATTCCCGAGGCTGATGGGTTTATTTTTGGCTTCCCAACAAGATTTGGGATGATGTCTGCCCAATTCAAAGCATTTATGGATGCAACTGGAGGTCTATGGAGAACTCAGCAACTTGCAGGCAAACCTGCTGGGATATTCTATAGCACCGGATCTCAGGGTGGCGGACAAGAGACTACAGCGTAAGTTCTTATATCAACATCATATGGTAACCTAACCTGCACCTAAATCTTTTTCGAATCAATCACAGGTTGACTGCAATCACTCAGCTTGTTCACCACGGGATGATATTCATCCCCATTGGATACAGCTTCGGTGCTGGCATGTTTGAGATGGAGCAAGTGAAGGGTGGAAGCCCTTACGGTGCAGGAACCTACGCCGGTGATGGATCAAGAATGCCATCCGAACTTGAGTTTTCCACCAAAGGGAAGTACATCGCCAAAGAAACTCAAGACAGCTGCCCTGATTTCAATTTACTACAACCCACTCCCACAACTTTTTTTTATTTTTCTATGGAATTTTAAATTTCCTATATTTTTATGCAACAAATATATATGCTGGTACGTGTGTTATACCTTACATTGGTCTCAATTTATGGTAAGTTGCTGATTTTCAAATGCCTAAACTGTCGGCATCGATGGCCTTATTTTGTTTTGGAGATTCAATTGGAACTGCAATCTATATTTACAAATATGCAGAAAACAATAATTCTTAATGTCTTGATATATGCTGGTACGTGTGTTATACCTTACATTGGTCTCAATTTATGGTAAGTTTGCTGATTTTTCAAATGCCTAAACTGTCGGCATCGATGGCCTTATTTTGTTTTGGAGATTCAATTGGAACTGCAATGTAGGATATTAGAAGTGGTTGCCTTTTTTGGGATCCTTATCTGAATTTCTGGGAAGCTTTTGTAAGACCAATTCGATTGAGATGTCTACAAATTTTCGTGCTTGAAACCTATATCCACCTAACTTTTTTTTCTCTGCTAGAGAATTATCAAAGTTTGAACTTATGACTGATAGGAGCCTACTATTTAGGTATATGCGATTGCATATTTGTGTATTAATTATGATTCAAAATGTTTGGCGTTCTGCGAATGCCCTAGCTCGCTAATTCGTTAGAAGATCAAATTTTTCCATTTAACCAATGAGTTAAAAAGGGTCATTTTTTCGTTGGTGCACTCAATTCCCTATTCCAAAGCAGACTTAAAACAGGCAGAAGTCATTTACAGAATCGTCACTCAATTCAGCACTTGTTCTGGCCATAATGTTGCAAAAGGAAAGCCTCTGCTTTTTTCACTCCTAACATGGACTTTGACACTGCTCAGCCAATCTGCTCAAAGCTTGGCTATCAAGGGGTTGACGACCTAGGAAAATATCTAGGCATCCTAGTCATGCACAAGAGGGCCACTTGCAACTCTTATCAATTCATTATTGACAAAATTAGACAAAAACTCAATGGATGATATGCGCGTCTGCTCTCAATGGTTTTTTCCCTCCGATTCTAGGATTATGTTAGGGTCGTTCATATCCCCCCCCCCCCCAAGGCAGTGGTGTCAACCCCTCATTCATTGTCGACTCTGTTTTTGTTTGTGATATTGTTCTCAATGGTTTTTTCCATCCGATTCTAGAATATCCTCGGTACTTGGTTCGAGAACGATGTCCTACTTCATATATCGAACATTAAGCCATCAACAAGTTTCGATGGAGTACGACATTTGCATCTGGAAATGGGGTTAGCTGTTAGCACCGCATCTTTACGGTTAAAGAGGCCTATAGCTTTGTCTCGGAAGATTGCCTACTTGCTAAAAATGCAAAGTGCAAGAAAATTTGGCAACTTCCAATCTCCAAACATATGCATTTTTTTATATGGGTTGGTATGAGAGACTGTTTGTTGACGAATATGAAAAGATGCACATGTTCCTTATCAAATGATTCGTCCCTTCATCTTTGTGGCTCGACAACTTAATCATCCATTCACATCCTACGGGATTGCGCCTCTATTAAGTATATTTAACGAGGTCTAACCTTGTTTATCTCCACAAATGAGAGAAACAATAATCTATTATAAAGGTAAAAATTATAAAGAGTACAAATACATGATATTTCATGTTTCAAAATTTTCTCTAGTCATTCTACAAGACTATCTCTGTAACATAAATCTCAAAAGTTACAAAGACTATAAAAGTATTGCATATATTCAAAATAATTTTCTCTCATAATCCTAAAAGTTAAGATAAATTCTCTATTTGTAAAATCGTTAATGACAAATAATTTGATAAAGTTAGACATCTCAAGTGACACATCCATAGTGATTCATGATTCACCTGCTACAACCATCTAGAATATCCTTGAGAGAATTACATACAATTTATATATCTTCATGCAATGTAGTTTAAGACCCATTAATTCTTGGCCGAGGCAATTTGTTCAATGGGAGGGACGACCTGACAATAAGGCCACTTAGGAATCAATTGGCACATTGTTGCAATTTTAAGACAAAGTGGAGGGAAATTCATCAAGGGTTAAAAAAAGAAAGAAAATGATTAGAAATGTTATAAAAAATATATTTTTTGAATAATATATTTATGATCGATTCAATGATGAGTATGGGATATAAACTAAATACCCAAAACTCCTTTTTTATAACAAGAAAAGAATTCAGATAATATAAAAGGGTTAGAAAATGTGATATTATCATTATGCTTCACCAATGGATGACAGATAAAAGTATATCTAAGGGAGCTTTGAAGACAAGTTACCACTCCTTTATGATAAAATGAAACATATTTCAAATATGATCCAAAATGATGGGTTCAACTTAAAATATTTATGCTTTTAGGTGGCATAAATAGTCTTGAAATATAGCTTAATTATTGTCGTAGAGGGGCATATATAGGACATTATTATATCAAAACTTGGACAGCTCAAATGTAAAATTCTTGGAATTAAATCTTTAACGGTGGGTCTCCTCTTCCCCTATCTTTCATTAACTCTAAACATTTCAATTTTGAAATGTCTAAATACCCTACATTATATGATCTTATATCAAATAGTGAAATAGAATAAATTACGAAAAAATCATTATAAAATTAATACAATTGAACCCAAAAATTATTATGAAATGAGAGATGTGACAAATACATAAAAAAAAGGTAAAGTGTATGAAATATTGAGGGAAGAAGAGTATAGGAGAACAACAATGATCAAAGGCTAGATTCTTTGGTTTTGGTACATATTTCATATTATATACACTAAAGTAAAAGTTAGTTGAGATAAAAGTGAAAATGATAATCCAAGAGTACTGATCCCAAAGCACTGTAGAAGAAATGTGCTTTTTGTGCAAAAGTTGAGGCCAACTTGAGTAGGAGTAGAGAAATATATAATTCATTTGGGTTTTCAGATCAAGTATACATCAAAAAAAATTTAACTTTCTTAGTGCATTTTATTCTTTACTTTGAAGAGAGTACAAAAGAAGATTATTAGATTGTGGAATCTCATAAAGTTGTTCATGATTAGTTTGTTATATGTGTCAATCTTTTTCATTTTTTTTTATTATAAATGAGGGAGTTTTCTTGGAAATTTTTATTTAGTTTCATTGATAACGATCTCTAAACTTTCAAATTCATTTTATCGAGTTAATTTCAATTCAAATTATTTATATAATTATATTTAATTATGAATATCAACGTAATGGATAAAAGATAGGTACAACGATAAAAGTAACTTTCAATATTTATTTAAATCCAACCTTTTTTTAGTTAAATTATTAAACATTTTTATCAATAATAATGATAATAAAGCATTTGATTAAAGTTATTCTAATTGTAATGGTAAATATACATGAAAATATAGTCATGATCTTTATAAAAGTATTTTCAATGAAGAAGACCTTAGAAGGCCACACATACTAATAATTATGTAAGATATTTTTTCCATTGAATGTAGTAAAAGAAACTTGTGTATAAAAAATAGCTTACTATTTCAAAATGTAAAATAAAGTTTCATTTCTTTGCCCTCCAATAGAAGCTCTTCAATGTGGCCACTCAAAAAGCACAAAAGCATGACTGATAGTACTTGTACATACATTCCTTCAATTCTCTCTCTTTATAAATATAGTTTATTTAAATTATACTGTAAAATCTATTATTCTTATATATAAATATAAGTATCAAATGAATTTAAATAAATAATTGGAATTAATAAAATTATTTACTTTTATAAAAATTAAAAAAATATCTGACAATTTTTTATTAATTTAAGGGTGATTACAATAGTAAGATTCTCTACCATTTAACTATAAAAGCTCAAACATCCTTACAACCTCTGATATTCGAACTTGAGACATGTAGGAGTGACAATCACCCTCTTGATAACTAAGTAGCTTAATTCATACCAAACGATTATATTTTTATGTAAAATCAATAAATTTTAGATTATATAAATAAATCATATCCTTGTGTTATTTCATTATAAAATATAAGAAATGGAATAAAAAAATCAGGCTGAAAGGAGGAGCTGGAGTGGGCCACCTTCTGACTTCCACTAACATATTCCAAACAAATAAGAAAATCAAAGGTGAGATCTCCAATCAAATGACATATCCCCACAATTCAATTATTCTTTTCAATTTCATCCCCTTTTTTTCTCTTCTTAAATTAAAGCTAGTAGTGGCACCTCTATTCACAATGTTGTAGGTAACAACAAAAGAACAAAAACCTTTATATTAATCTTGAAACTATTTTCCTGTTAATTCTGAATTAATATTCCTAATTCAATAAAACAACCTCTGATCTCATAATAATTATTCTTCAATTATTACAAAAACAAATTAATATATATATATGTATTATCTTATATGGTCCCCCAACAGTGCCCAAATCCTTGCTTCATTTTGCCTGTTGTTGGCCCCCTCTTCTTTGAAGAGTCCTTCATTTTTTCCCCTTTTGGGACTTCACCTTTCAGTGCGGACTTTCTTTCATTCATTCCACACAAACAACTTGGCTAGGGTTTTGATTTCCTGATAAGAATGTACAATAACATTGCAGAGAATCTGTTCCATTTACAGATATCTATCTATCTATCGGACCCTTTTTTTTCCTCTTCACTTTCTACCTGAAAGTTCCTCCAAATGTCGGTGTCCAGAAATCGACCGGCGAGTCATGTGTCAATGGGAACGTGCTCGAGACCGGCACCAGGCATAGTCCTCGACTTCTTAGATCTTGGTTAGGACCTTCAGGGTCCTTGGATTTCTCAGGATTCTGCCATTAATGCAATGGAAAAATGCTTAATCAATTATGAAACTATGAATTATATCTATATATAATGTTGTATTGGTACCCGCTGGTGTTGTATGACAGCTTCGTTGTTTTTCATGTATGGGGTACTTAGAACCTGATATAAAACAAGACAAAACAAAACCCTTGTCAGAAAACTGTTGATGTTTTATGTTTTGTATGAAATGAATTAGTAGGTGTTAATGGGAACTTACATTGACTTGTTCATGGAGGAATTTTATGTATTCAATGGCTTCAGAGAGCACTGAGGCTGTATCAGTCTACATAGAACAATAATAAAAATTATTCATTTTGAGAAAGTAAGGCCAAAATATAAAAAAGATTATCAGAAAACTCACTTTTCCGAAAGGTGAAACCAATTGTTGGAGTGCAGTGATTCTGTCTCCCATCTTCTCTTTTCTCACCTGTGATTTTCAATCAAAGCTTTTGAATTTGAAAACCAAATTCCACCAGGAAAATCAAATCCTGTTGTGAAAAGTTTTATCAAACTGATGGTACCTTAAAAGCTGGCATAGTTGATGGGTTTTCATTTCGGGGCCTTTTAGAAGTGGGTTCGTTTCCACTTTTCTTCACCACAGTGCTTGAGTCCCGAACTTCTGATATATTCTGCTGACATATGAAGAAAATAAAAATCTTTACAAAAATATTCCAAACCCTAATATAGAAAAATCTGGTAGTAAAAGATTCTTCAAACAAAAGGGTTTTTAAAAACCTTTGGTTTTTCATCGAAATTTCCTGTTGGAAATTGGGTTTGCAATGAAGGGAAAACCCCAGGCCTAACATGATCAGCCATGGGAGCTGCAGATGGGTTCCAAAAAGGAGCATTGTTTGAGAAATGTAACTGGCCATGGAGCTGATGTTGTTGTTGATGATGATGTTTTGGTGGTGAGCTGCTCAAGAACTGTGGGACTTTGGACCAAGAATTAGGTAACAATTGATCATTTGTGTTCATTCCATATTGATAATTGATGGAGCGATTCTCGTAAGAAGATTGTTGTTGTTGTTGTGGTTGATTCTCAGATCCCAATAGTCCTTGCAGAATCGTGGAAGGGCTCCCGTATAAGGCCGCCGTCGAATCCATCGGAAAACTCGAAGGCAAACCATGGCAAGTCACGGTGCTATCACTGGAACTTCCATGAGGACTAAACTGGGATTGATCAAGTGAAAACCCTCTATTCATTTGCTGATGATGATAGTTTGTATTTGATGTACTCAAGCTATGGTCTTGAAGCATAGACCTGAAACTAGTCTCACTCTTCTCCCCACGCCTGTTCCAACAAAAGATCAAAGCTTTAAAACCAACAATTTCAAAGTTATCAAAGAATCAATATTCTTCAACTACTTACAGAAAAGCTTGATTCCAATCCATGGCTTGAGAAGAAAGTCCCAAACCCATCATTTGCAAATCCATAGCTTGAAGCTTCTGGTTGTCCTGGAAAACAACCGAACTACCCGATGAGACGGAATCCATGGAAGACCTCGCAGCAGCTGCTGCTTTGATATCAGCCATCTCAGTCGCCCAACCAAGGCTATTATTAAGCCCAGAAGATGAAGATGAAGAACCAGCAGTTCTAGATGAATCCCACCAGTTTGTTCCTGTGTTAAACTCATCTGCCATGGCTCAGAAAACTCAGCTGCTGCTGCTGCCTTTTAGTTGCTATTGCGTTTGAGATTCTCCTTGGAGGTAGTTTTATGGTTGAATAAAATGATGGAAAACGATTTGCTGCATCTTAGGTTATATATATATATAGGTGTAGATAAACACGAAGCAGCCAAAGGATTAAAAACAGGTTAATTGGCAGTACTATAGAGGAACAAGTAACCAGGATATTGTGGTTGACGTTTATGGGGGTGATAAGACAAGGGGAAAGGTCGTTTTGAAATTGATTTTTTTTCTCTGTTTTGGATGCTTTTTAACTTTCTGTTAAAGTTGAAATTATTTTTTAAAATAATTTATGTATACATTCTTTTATATATTGAAATTTTTATTTTTATTTCTCCTTCTTTCAGTATTTTAATAATTTGATTGAGAATATTTTTTGTTTAATACCGGCCGCCCCCCCACATCCGCTAGCCCCCCACCCGCCCCCACTAAATATCCATTAAATTTTGGACCATTATGAATTTAGGTATAATTTTAGATACTAATTTATAAATCTTAATATTTTATAAGATATAACTTATAATTTAACTAAATATTATGGATAAGTTTATAAATCAATATTTTCTTTCAATCCTCTCATGCTTTGTTTGCTGGTTAGTACGCGATATTCTGGTAGTTTTTCTTCTCTAAGTTTCAAACTCTGGTCTCCAGCTCATTCAGGTACGCCTTCTTCCTCTTTTTTACTCTGGTCTCCTCTACGGGTAGTAGAGTTGTATGTCATCTTATACACAGATCCAAAACCACCTTCCTCAATCTTGTTTGTTGCATCAAAGTTGTTTGTGCCGCTTTAATTTGTCGTAAGGTGAATACTACAGTTTTCAGATCTAATCCTCTTAGTTATGTTCAAGATTCAATCCAATAGTCAATACTCTGTTATTTTGATTTGATATTCTGCTGAATCTAAGAGCATTCGTATATTGATTTTAATTTTTAAGAAACACGTTATATATATGTATATTGAATTATCGATTTTGGTATTCTTCTGAATTTAAGTGCATTCACACATTCTGTTGATTTTGAAAATTATGAATAATTTATGCATTATACTTTCTACAACCATGCATTGAAAAACAAAAACATCTTGAAAAAAAGCCCAAAACCAATACAACTTAGATTTAATCTTCTTTTTCTGGATTGAGATAATGCAAAGGTAAAGATCCAAACATCGGGCTATATTTTATGCATCCTGGATCATTTGCTTAGATTTGTATAAGTTTGTTTGGTTGCTGGTGTGGGGAAAGAGATGAAATCATGTTTTAATTTTGGGTAGAAAAAACTTTATTATAATTTAGAAACAGGTGCAACAACAAACAAAGAGACTGATTAACGCAGAGAAAGTTGTGTCAATAATATTTTTACAACTCAAAGAATGGATTTGTTTAGGTGTATATCCAATATTTGTAATTATTATCGCTGATGGTTTGTTGAAGTTTTGGGCTTATATAGGAAGATGATTAGGACAAATAATGACTACTGGTAGATGGTTTAGCTTAATATGGTAGTGTGGTTGGTGGTCTATAAACAGAAAGGTGAGAGACATGAAATCCACAAAAACAACGGAGGTTTTGAAGTTTATAGACGATAGCGTCGTATACAATAAGTCTCAATTTAGGGTTGTACAAATTGGTAAGGCGTGCCCATATCTTAACTGCAGACTTCTTCTGTGATGGTTCAGGATGAATAAGATGTGCTTACGCCTTATGCGAAAACCTCCTCTGGTCTTCGAATATAGCCCATTTTTTTGGGTTTTCGAATAATCCGAACATGGTTTTTTATCGATCCGTATATGATCCGATAATTCAGAAAAAATTTTAGATACCCAATCCGAGCTATCCGAAAATTGAAAAACGGATCGGATATCTGAATTTTTGGATCGGATCAACGGGTCAACGGATCGAATCGGTCAGATCGGATTTTTTTGCACACCCCTAATTGTCAGGCGGGTCTAGCTGGATACGTCTCTAGTTGGGTAGTGGGTGTGAGAATGGATTTGAGAATATACCTGCGTGGGCGGGTGTGGATCTGAAAATTTTTACCCATCATGGGTGGTGGATTGGAAAATATTAGGTGGGTATAGGGATGGGAGGCGGTATCCGCAACCGACCCGCCCGTTTGCCATCCCTAGGGGGAAGTGTATATGTAGGGTCTGCTTTGATCATTAATTCATGCCAAGGATTTATATTTGAGTGTTTGATAATTTAAAATAAAATTATTTTATAGAACTTTTAATAAAATTATGGAAAATAAAAGTTGTTAAGGACATACTTATCATTAGAATGAATTTAATAGATTTTATTTTATTTAAAAAATTATATTATCTATTAAATTTACATTTGTCAAATATTGTAATTATATTCTATATGTAATATTATGTGACATACCATGTAGATTTTATAACGTATAGTATATCTAATGAACCATTGAAAATTTTAATTTATAAAAATTGATAACTTTGGTAATTAATTTTAAGTATAAGATGTTTCTATTTAAAAAAAGCCTAATACCAACAACCTGTCACACTCCGAAGTTGAGGCAAAATTTTGAGGGACCAAGCTATAAGATTATCAAGATTTTATGGTAGTTTCTAAATTTTAATAGAGTCCAGGGACTCAACTTTGAATTGGCCATTAACCAAAAATATAATCTCAAAAAAAAAAATGGAATTTGGTGGTTGTGCTAGTTTAAACTCGTGACCTAGGACATGGACGGCCATCACTCTACCATCCAAGCTAGGCCACTGTGGTGTAATATAATAATAAAAATTAATATTATAGGGTTAGGCTCAGGTTAAAAATACCCAAACCATAAACCCCTTATTGCCCAATCATGTACCAAAACCCCTAAAACCCATCTTCTCACCAACCCAACCATCCATGTCGCACCTTCGGCTAGCCACTTCCGGTCGGCGGTAAAGTGCACCACCACGTTCATCAAGCTCAACAATAACCGAAGAACTCAACCCGATCGTCAAACCTCCGGAAACGGCCACCGTCCATCACGAAGAAGGAGAAAGTCGCCCGACTCACCCTCTTCGATTCAACTCCACCGCTTATCGGTTGAAGACACTGCCAACACATATAGAAATATCACCTTGCTTCGGACCAAGCCCAGTACCTCACTAGTCGAGTGGTCGCACCGTTCACCGAAAAAAAAAAAACTTGAAGCTTCGCGAGAAAACCCATTTTTCTCCCTCAATTTCTCACAATTTTCTGTAGTTCTTGCCGCCATTGTGCTCCCTAGGAGATTCTGACCAAAACTTGGTCGAGTTCATCGTCTGAATCTGTCCCGTCTTTTATCTCCATTTTTCGGGTAAATTTCGAATATTTTCGATTGATTTACACTGTTTTGGGTTGATAAATGGGCTATTATGGATCATTTTGAGTGAATGGAAGCTGTCGGAGTGTTCGACTGTTATCCCTGACCTCCTCACCACGTGCGCGTGGGGCTCCTCCCTTGTCTTGGAACCTCCTAGAACCGGTTCGAGTCAACTCAAATCGATATGTGTCAGCTCAGACCAAACTGAGTCAACCTGAACCAGCCTAAGTCAGCTCGAACCGATATGACCCGTTAACTTTGACCTGAATGTTGACCTGCCCATTGACCGTTTACATGCTCGTTGACCGTTGATCGACCGTTGACTGACTTTGACTTTTTTTGGGAACACATATCCTGATGTTTTTCGACGTCCATAGTACTGACAAGCTATTTTTCACTTATTCACCTCTCGATTTAATCTGTTTTTCGCAATAAAGCTCCGCTTATGAGTCCCTTTTTTAGGTTTATTTTGCCAATATATTATTGGACGTCGTATTCAAGTTTGAGAGCGATCGAATAGAGTTTAAATGCTCGATCGGTGTAGCTCGAGAATCAAGGTAATACTTTACTACCCTATGCATGCTTCATGGTACATGTTGGTATTGCTAAGTACATGGGTGAATATGTTTCGTCTAATCGGTATAATTAATTATTTCTAAACTCGATTCAAATGCGATAAAAAATAAATAACTGAATAAAACTCTGATGGCTCGTATAAGAAATTAGAAGATTTATAAAGAAAATTTCCAAGTTCCGTGATTAACTAGTGAAGTGTTTAATCTCATAACCATTAAAATTTGATTATTCTAGTTAAAAATTGAAACACCAAAAAATACCTAGATGAAAAATTACGGAATTACCCGTGAGAGGTAAAAATAGCCCAGATTGACCCTGATTGAGAAAATACCATGAGAATTCTTATCTAATCCGATAAATTATTGATTTAAGTATTAATTTCCTATTTTATTCGAGAGATTTCTGATAAATAGTTCGTAACATATGAGAATACACTAGACCCAAAATTTCTGATTTATGAGCATACACCTGAAGACTAACTTATCAAAAGTACTTTTATGGTCAAAATTGTTTGAAATGAATGAAATAAATGACAAGTTTGAATTAAATGGAAATATTGGATGGAAAGAAATGACTAAAATGCCCTTGAACTGTAAAAAGATAAAAATACCCCTAAAGTGTGAAATAACCTAAAATACCCCAAGCCCTAGAATGATTGAATACCCTTAAGCTTTGGAGTGAATAAATCTACCTCGAATACCAGAATGACCTAAATACCCTCATGACTTGGATTAAGTAAATACCTTTAGATAACTTCTGAAGATACCGGTGAAGCTTTAAATGATGTAACGCCCGTAAGGTTTTTAAAGTACGACCTAGGTAGGTCGATCATCCTTAATACTAGTACAATACAGGAAGTTAATAAATAATGCTTAAATACATGTTAGTCTCCTCATGATCCGTCCAAAGATGGTTTTGAAGGTGATTAATTTGATTCTGCAATGCAACCAGTTTTAAGAAATAAATATTCGTGAAATTTTTCTACCTACATAATTGATAAATGTCACCTTTACTGGGAATTTACAGTACAATTGGAATTGAAAACCTGTTAAGATGCTTGAAATCTGGAATTTTGTAAATCGTTGCATACCTTTATTAAATTGATTTATCAAAATTCTGAGGAATTAAATGACTAAAATGCACTTATAAGCCTGATTGATGGAATCACTTTAGGAATGTCTAAACCCTAAATAAATTTTGATACAATAATTCATGAATACATTGTTGATATATCTGAATACTATGATCTTGATAAATCACTTCCTAAATGACTAATGAATCCTCTATTAAACCCTTTTTTTATAAGG